GGTAGAAAGAGACGGTAGTTAGAAAGACTAGAGAAGGAGCAGAGGAGGAGGGACGGGTAAAAGAGAGAGAGGATGAGAAGAGAGAGAGGAGGAGGGTTTTAGAAAGAGAAGGGAAGAGTTGGGAGTGCGAGAGGGGTGGAAGTGCGAGAGGGAGAATGGGAAAAGGAGATCTGATGCTCTTTGTCTACCCGTTGCATCCTCCATTCTCTCTTCTCTTCTCGGTCTCCCTGCACTCATTTCCTCTTCCCTTTGTTCTTCTCTCCGGTACCTCTTTCCCTCTGTTCTCTTAGCTTTGATGATCGATGTCTGGTCTGCAGTCGACACATTGCACTGCATGGGAACTCTTGCCCGCCACGATGTACACACTGGCTCTGCTGACTGCGAAATAATGCGGGTCTCAAATGTTCCTATTCTGTTTTATTGCTTCTTCTACTGGGAAAATATAGTAGCGTAATCGTTTGCTTAAATTCATGCAGACGTGTGGATACATTATGGGGTTGTTATTTTCTTAGTGTATTTTATTCACTTTAGTTGCTTTTTCGCTTTTCTCATACTCATTGTGTGTCAAATCCCATTCCCCGTCATCGTTTCTCTCTCTTCTCAGCGTATCTCTCATACTCTTTTCTCAGTTCTGAAATACACAGCCTACATCACTTCCCTCACTTTCCTCCTCTGCAGTTCGACCTGACTTGCGAAAATGCTTGGCTCGGCCCTCTTGCCGGCTCCATGTACATGGTGGGCATGCTGCTGGGTGCCATCACCATCGGGGACTTGGCTGACCGCTTCGGCCGCAAGATGGGGATCCTCGTGTCTGTGATGCTTCTGGGCGGCGGCGGCGTCCTGAGCGCCGTCAGCCCCAACTACTACATGTTCCTCGCCATGAGACTTCTTACTGGTGCTGGCGGTGTCGGCCTCTTTCAGGTTACCTTCGTTTTAGGTAGGTGTCTCTTCTTTAGATCTCATACTTACCTGTGCGTGGCCAAGTAATGCTAGATTAAGTGTGTTGCAGGTCTTTGTTTATATCTCTTTGTTAGAAAATAATGCCATTTCTTCTTGACAGCTGTTGAATTCATCGGTGCCAAATATAGGACGTTTTGTGGAATCATGATTGAAGTTCCTTTCGCTCTCGGCGAGGCCATGACGGGAGTCTTGGCCATCTTCATCCGCGATTGGCGCTGGCTCCAGGTGGCCGTGACGGCTCCGGCTTTCCTCCTGCTCTCCTACATGTGGTGCGTGGAAAGGCTACGGTCTATGTCGCATACATACATACATCTGCATGACACAGAAAGTGACAGTGACGTTGTCAGTCAGTCACAGACAAACAGACACAGGACAGACAGACCAGAACAGTCACAGACAAACAGACGCAGGAACACAGACAGACAGGGACACAGACAGACACAGACACAGACAGAGACAGACACAGACACAGACACAGACAGACACAGAGACAGACCAGGCAACACAGACAGACAGACAGAACACAACAGACAGACACAGACAGACAGACACAGACACAGACAGACAAGACACCACAGACAGACAGACAGACACAGACCAGACACAGACAGACAGACACAGACACAGACACACATACAAACCTTGAGTCTTCTTTCCCGCTTTCTTTCTTTATTATTTTTGAATGAATTTTTTTCTTATCAATCCCCCAAAAATTAACATCTTTTCCCCTGTGTCTTGGCAAGGATCATGCCAGAGAGTGTCCGCTGGGCTGGGTGTCTCAAGGGCAAGAGGGATGTCGCCGTCCAGATCATTCAAGAGGCAGCAGATGTCAGCCGTGAAGTACCCAAGCATCTCCTTGAGGACAGCAACACCGAGGTTGGTTGGTGCCTTTTGACCTGCATGCTGCTCGTCCTTCGGCTCATGATCATCGTCTCTTTTTCCCTCTTTCTTTTTCTCTCGTTTTTCTTCTTTTTCCTCGTCTCCTCCTGCTCCTTTACTTCCTTCTTTTCCTTCTCGTCCTTCCTCTTCCTCATTTTCTCCTTTTTCTTCTGTTCTTCTCCTCTCCTTCATCTTTTCTTTCCTTCTCCTCCTCCTCCTCCTTTCTTCAATTTCTTCTTCTTCACCTCCTCTTCTTTCTTTTCTTTCCCTCCTCCTCCCTCCTTTCTCTTCTCCTTCACCCTCTTCTTCTCCTTCACCCTCTTCTTCTTCACCTCTTCTCTTCTTCCCTCTTCTTCTCCTCCTCCCTCTTCTCTCTCCTCTCCTCTTCCTTCTCCTTCACCCTCTTCTTCCCTCCTTTCACCCTCTTCTCTTCTCCTCACCCCTTTCTTCTCCTCACTCCCTCTTCTTCTCCTTCATCCTCCTTCAACCCTCTTCTTCTCCTTCACCCTCTTTCTTACTCCTTCATCCCTCACTTCTTCTCCTATCCCTCACACCCTTCTTCTTTTCTCTCTCCTCCTCTTCTTCCCCTTCTCCTTCCTTCCTTCTCTTGCTCCTTCTGCTCTGCTCCTGCACTCCTCCTCCCTCCTCCTCCTTCTCTCCTCCTCCTCCTCTCCTTCTTTCTTCTTCTTTTCTCCTCCTCCTCCCTTCTTCTTCTTCTTTTTCTCGCTCCTCCTTCTTCATTCTTCTTCTGTATTTCTCCTCCTCCTTCTTCTTCTTCTTCTTTCTCTCCTCTTCTTCTTCTTTTTTCTCTCCTCCTTCTTCTCCTCCTCCTTCTTCTCCTCCTCCTTCTTGTTCTTCTCCTCCTTCCTTCTTCTCCTCCCTCCACCTTTCTCACTCCTCCTCCTGTTCTTCTCCTCTCCTTGTTTCTCTTCTCCTCCTTGTTTCTTCTTTCTCCTCCTTGTTTTCGGCCTCCTCCTCCTTGTTCTCTCCCCCTTCTTCCTTGTTCTTCTCGCCTCCTTGTCATCTCCTCCTCCTCCTCCTCCTCCTCCTCCTCCTCCTCCTCTCCTCCTTCTTCTCTTGCTCCTTTCTGTCTTCTTCTTGCCTCTTCTTCTTTCTTCTTGCTTCTTCTCTGTTTTTCTTTTCTTTTTTTCTTCCCTTTCCTCCTCCTTACTCTCTCGCCTCCTTCTTCTTCTTCTTCTTCTTCTTCTTCTTCTTCTTCTCTTCTTCTTCTTCTCCTCCTCCTTCTGCTTCTTTTCTTCTTCTTCTTCCTTCTTCTCTCCTTTTCTTTCTCCGTCCCTCCTCCCTCCTCCTCCTCCTCCTGTCTTCTGGCGTCTTCTTCTTCTTTCTTCTTCTTCTTCTTCTCTCCTCCTCCTCCTCCTCCTCCTCCTGCCTCCTCTTTCTTCTTCTTCTTCTTTCTTCTTCTTCGTCTTCTTCTTCTTCTTACTCCTCCTCCTTCTCTTCTTCTTCTTCTTCTTCTCTCTCTTTTTCTCCCTTCTCCTCCTCCTCCTTTCCTCCTCCTTCTTTTCTCTTCTTCTTTCTTCTTATTCTTCTTCTTCTTCCCTCCTCCTCCTCCTCCAACCTCCTTCCTTCCTCCTCCCTTCTTCTTCTTCTTCTTCTTCTTCTGTCTTCTCCTATCTTCTTTCTTTCTTCTTCTTCTTCTTCTGTCTTCTCCCGTGCCTTTCTTCTTCTTCTTCTTGTCTTTGTGCTCTCTTTCTTCTTCTTCTTCTTCTTCTTTCTTCTTCTTTCTTCTCTTCTTCTTCTTCTTCTTTCTCCTCCTCCAGCCATCCTCCCCCTCCTGCTCTCCCCTCCTTCTTCTGTTCTCCTCCTCTTCTCTCTTCTTCTCTCCTCTCCCTTCTTTTCTTCCTCTCTCTCCTCCTCCGTACTTCTCTTCTTCTTCTTCTCTGTCTTCTTCTTCTTCTCCTCCTACCTCCTTCTTCTTCTTACTTTCTCCTCCTCCAATAACCTTCCTCCCTCGCTTGCTCCTTCTTCTATACTGTCTCCTCCTGCTCCTCCTCTCCTCCTTCTTCTTCTTTCGTTCTTCTTCTTCTTCTCTCTTCTCCCTCCTGCGTTCCTACCCCTCCTCCTCCCTGTCTTCTCTTCTTCTTCGTCTCCGTCTCTTCTTTCTTCTTCTTCTTTACTTCTAACTCCTCCTGTCTTCTCTTCTTCTACTCCTCCTCGCTTCTTTCTCTTCTTGTGGTGCTACACCTCTCCTCTTTTCTTCCATCTCCTTCTTTCTCACTCCTCCTTCCTTCCTTTTTCTTCATCTCCTTCTCTCCTCCTCCTGCCTGGTGCTTCATTCTTCATTCTCTTCTCCTCTCCTCCCTCCTGTGTCTCTTCTTTCTTCTTCTTCTTCACCTCCTCCTGCCTCCTCCCTGCCTCTTCTTTCTTCTTTCTCTCTTTTTCTTCTTCTTCTTCTCTTCTTCTTCTTCTTCTTCTTCTTCTTTCTTCTTCCTTCTCCTCCTCCTCCTTCTACACCTCCTTCTTCTTCTTCTTCTTCTACTCCTTCCTTCTTCTCTCTTCTTCTACTCCTCCCTCTCTCTTCTTCTCCTCCTTCCTCCCTTCCTCCCTCTCCTCCTCCTTTCCTCCTCCTCCTCCTCCTCCTCCTCCTTCCTCCTCCTATCCTCCTCCTTCCCCTCCTCCTTTCTTCCTCCTTCCTCCTCCTCCTCCTTCCTCCTCCTCCCTTCCTTCCTCCTCCTCCTTCTTCTTCGGGTCTTCTTCTTACTCCTTCTCTTCTTCTTCTTCTTTCTTCTAACTCCTCCTTCTCTTCTTCTTTCTTCTACTCCTCCTTCTTCTTCTTTCTTCTTCTTCTACTCCTCCTTCTCTCTTCTTCTACTCTCCTCCTTCTTCTTCTTCTTTCTTCTTTCTTCTTTCTTCTTCTTTCTTCTTCTTTCTTCTTTCTTCTTCTTCTTCTTCTTCTTCTACTTTCTTCTTCTTCTCCTCCTCACTCCATCTCCTTCTTCTTTCTTCTCCTCCTCCTCATCTCCTTCTTCTTCTCTCCTCTCCTCCTCCTTCCATTCTCCTTCTTCTTCTTCTCCTCCTCCTCCATCTCTTCTTCCTTCTTCCTCTCCTCCTCCATTCTCCTTCTTCTTCTCTCCTCCTCCCTCCTCCATCTCCTTCTTCTTCTTCTTCCTCCTCCTCCTTCCATTTCCTTCTTCTTCTTC